GTGACAGAGCATGGGAACAGGCTGCCCAGAGTCTCCTTCACTGGAGATATTGAAAACCCACCTGGACACGTTCCTATGTGACCTATTCCAGGTGATCCTGCTCTGGCAGGGGGGCTGGACTACGTGACCTTCAGAGGTTCCTGCCAGCCACTAGCATTCTGCGATCCTCAGCAGTGACAGCTGCTGAACAGGCCTCTCTCAGGAGAACAGCTCTCCTAAAGGCCTCGGCACCAGTAGCCGGACTCTTTGGCAGAGGGACAAGGTGAATAACGTGATGCCTTCCAGGGCAAAAGATGGTGTCCCAGGTGGGTGTATCCTGGGAACTGAATCTGGTCCTGGAGTCCCTAGACAGATCACACCAACCCACGTTCAAATTAGCGCACCAGCCTAGATCCAAATTAGCACTTTGTGCTGCAGTTACACCTCTGGTATTGACACAGACACTTTTGTGTGGGTGAACATTTAATTTCCCGTGAGAAACATTTCTCAAAGTCACTGTCAGGTTTTTGTTATACATCAAGCTTGTTACACCATTAGCGCAGACGGCATATTAAACTGTCTGCACTGCTATGCAAGCTATCATCTGAGACCAAATTGGGCTAACAGTTACAGTTTGTAATGCTGCTGCCACAAACTTCCCCTAAGGCTTGCTTTCCTGGTTTCCCTTGGGTTACACAGAGGCAAGGAGGGAAGGAGCCTGAGCTGCAAGCTTCCCTCGGGAACTTGTTGGAGTCTCCTCTGGAGACTTTCAGAACTCACCTGGATGCAATCCTGTGTAATGTGCTCCAGGCAATCCTGCTTGGATTGGACTAAATTGGACTACATTGGGGGTTGGACTAAACGGTCTCTAGAGGTCCCTTCCAACTCTGACGATTCTGTGATTCTGTGAACACAGGCTGCAGCCAGACAGGGTGAATAAAACAGGCTCCTGTCTCCTCTTACCTGATGACACCTGAGCTGAAAACTAAAGCCAAAGCTAGGCAGCTGGCTCCACCGGGAGCTCCAGCTGCAGAACCATGCAGAACTTCAGGGAAGGGCAGGTATTGGGCCTGGTTATGGCCAGGCTTTTTTTTTGAGATGTCACCTCCTCGTGACATCTGAGGAGGAAACTTCATGTAGGATGTCTCAATTGCAAAGTAGTTTGTTCAAAGAATGTCACTGAGAAGAAGCCACTGATGGTGAAAATCAGGGCGCTGATGTGACCTGAGTGGAGAAATTGGACCCCTTAAAGCACGAAATTCTTGCATGAATAAAATGGGCAAAGCTTGGTTAAGAGCGAAGACAGACAATAGTCATAGTTTTGTTTCCATTTATTAACGCTTTCCGTTAACACCTACGTGTCTGTTTAGTAGGCTTTGGATACAGATTTCAAAGGACGTCGGCAGCTCACAGATTTTAATAAAAAGCACTAAATGTCATGATTATTTTCCATTTAGGTCATACAGACTGTACATACGGTACATAGATATTATTTGTCGATGGTTATTTAATCTGCCCCTACCATCCTGGTCAACAGAGTTCTCAGTTTTATTTCTCATTTGCTCCTTTCTTTGAGCAACTGAAGTTGATGTGTCTCACGGTTTAGACTGCTGTTGTAAAGCAACGGCAATGTGCATCATTATATGCATCAAATAAGAACTACAAGAAAACAACAACCATAACCATAATATTACATGTAAAGGCAAGATAAAATTATAAATTTTGTAATTACAATGCAGTGCAGAGTATAATATATTAGCAATACTTCCATAAATACATATCTTTTCAGTATTTCACCATCAGTAATAAAATATATTTATAATCTGTCATTATTATTAAGAATCTAAGTATTGTCCTAGCACGCTATTAGTTTAAAAAAAAAAGCATGGTTACTGAAAAGTTATTTTTTTCCCTTGAGATGTGAATATTCTACTAAAATACAGTTCTGACATTTTGTAATTATTTTTAACATCAAACAGTATTAATCGGCACAGACTGTTTTAGCTTTTGCACACAAGGCACAATAAATTCAGGTTCACATATTAACTATTCATAAATACAGAATCTGTCACATACAGATATCTTGCAAAGCTACAGAACAGAAACAGCAGATATGTTCTTCTTTCAAAATGTTCTTTTCCATATTTTTGTTCTTCAGTTGATTACATAGCCCAGATTTCATTTTCAGATGACCTAAGATTAATAGTCCATGAAGGAATTATCATGTGGGGGAAAAGAGGGTATGAGAGACAGAATACTAAGAAGGCCTTCACTGATTACATATTCAGATCATCCCAGAATTTCAGCAAAACTAGAACTGTGAACTTCAGATTTCTGTATCAGGCTGGCTGAGGGCAAATGTAATTCCATGGGTCTCATAAATGCCATTTATTAGAAGATTTACTTATGTCACTTCTTTAAAAAAACAAAAATAAATTAACTTTTACCCCATTTGTATTTTCAATTAACTCTTATCCTAAATTTTTTGCCAAAATGAGTTTAGGTATCTGGACATCAGCCTCTTATAAAACTGATACCCACATGCTGGAAAATGTTTAACTGAATGTCAGTTTTGGCACCATCTTCCCACCAAGGTTTGGAGGGACTCGTGTCTAATTCTGGACTGCTGGGAACATTTCACCTCTCCTGGGTTTGGATGTGCATCCTGCCTGCGGCCCTGTTCTACAGCAGTTTGAGGCTCACGCAGGCGTGCATCATCCACCCCTGCTCTGGTTTCCATGGAGAGGATTTCTACCAAAATCCTCTTACATTCAGCCTACTGTTGCCTTACCTTCTGCATTTCTTCTCCAATACTTAATAGATAGATTTTAATTTCAATTATAGTCACATAAGCCTAAAGCAACTCCATTTAATTTCAGTGGAATTATCCTGGATTTACTCTATGATAGCTTTGGTCAGAATCTGATTTTTATTTTTTTTTTTTTTTTCCTGGACAGACCTGGTTATATATTTCACATACAAAACACTGATCTGTCTTACAGTCACAGAGAAGGTGTAATTCTTCTCTGGCTCCTAGATTCTATGAGGTGTTTTCATAATGTAAAAGCTGTAAAACTGTATCATACGGACCATATGGATGAACATTGTTTCCCAAGTCATGAGTACTGAATAATGTTGTTTAAAAAAAAAAACAAACTGAAGATAAAGGAAACAACTGCCAGCATTTTCTGCTCTCTTCAGTCTATCAATCTATTGCATTGTGCTACTGCAGAAAAACTTAGTTTCATATTGGTCCTGCCCATCTCTTCTGTACCACTTGCACACACATTAATACTAATCCTTCCCCAGTCTGCGCTGCAGAAGTGAGGTGATTAGGAACCACCAGAAAAAAAATCTACCTGGTCCCCAGTCAACTTCTTTAATCCCTTCTGGAAAGACAACTGGGAGGAGCAGACTGTGTGCCAAGTTAACTGTCCCGGGGCAGGTTTCATGGTCTATGGGCTGCTTCCCAAACGCAGGAAGTTGACTTGCAAGGGATGGAGGAAGGGAGCTGAATAATTGTGCAAGTGGTTCAGGATGCTTTAGAAGTGAGCATGAGTGGCAAAAGGGAATGATTACAGTGAATGCAAATGTAGAAGTGAATCCTACACATGATTTTTCCTGGAGCAGCTCTTTATTTTGTTCTTATTTACATAGAAATAAGTGTCTGGAATTCATGTTTTCAAAAGGGCAGAAGTATTTAATAAAGTCAGATACTGTTTCTGTCTTTCATTTCACCTCTTTACTGCACCTGCCTTTGATAGGATGATGTATCAATGGTTTGTGTGAAGTACACATTATTTGACTTCCTTTGAAGCTTAATTGTTTTCCAATATTTTCATACTCCAAGCATCACTGTTAATAGAAGAAAACCACTGATGGGGGTATATTTTTGGGCTTAGTTCTCTTAATTTCTATTCTGATTGTAATTTTTTATCTTTTTGTTAGCTAATTTGAGAAACAAAGAGCAATTATTTTTGCCATCACATTTCTTAGCACATTTTGTCAAAGACTTTACATGATGGAGTAAGCAGAATGATAGCCAAAAAAGAAATCACAACTATTTCACAGAATGTAGGTTACAGATTATTTTCAAGTAATCACTGCTTAAATTGGTTAAAAATATAGAATACCAGGTAGCACATGGCTTTTGACAGCACTCTTAAGAAGGAGCTTTTAAGAAGCCTTATTATGAATGATCAAAGTGAAAACCAACAGCCAGCATAGCCTATTTGCTGAGATTTGACAAAATGACTGTTTTAAATGCAAACCCTTTAAGAGAAAGTAGGGAATCTGCCACAAGGATGGTTCATTTAGTTCGTACGTGTTCATTTAGTGCTCGTGCTCACTCTCCCCTGATCTGGCTATGTAATGAAGGAAGTGTTGAAGTCCTATTTTCATTTACAAAATTACTGCAGCAAGCATGTTATGACATGACAGTGTCCCAAATCATGATGATGACATTTGTATGTGCCTGTTTAGACTGGGCCTGAACAGTGTTATAACCAGGTTACTGACCTTCCCCCAACTTGGATTCTTTCTGAAGTTGTAGTAATGTTAAATTAATTGGTTCTAACACCTCACAGTTTCATCTGTAAAGAAAGAAGTGGATGTGCTAGAGGACAAAGGAGAGAGCACTAACCCTTCCACTTCCACTGCCTGGTTCCATTAATGCTCTTGATTATAAACTGGTAACAAATGACAGCTTGAGCCCCCATGGCTATGTACATCCTGGAAATAGGCAAGATGAAACTACAGTGTAGAGAAGGAATGACTGAGGGTACAACACAACAACACAACTTGCTGGCAAGGACTTTGCTACTGCAGCTGGGCTGTATAACAACAGGTTTTGTACTTTTTTCCTTCATAATTTGACTTTCCCACCTGAAATAAAACTTGGCGACACCGAGAGAGCCAATGAATTACCTCCTTCCCACTGCTATTTCACTGCTGCTATTGCTGGTGGTGGTTTTGCTCCCATGTTTTCAGAAGATCGGTTGCCAGCTGTGAGATGTGCTGCCAGGCAAACTTGATGTGGGTGGATTCCACTGTGCGGGAACAAATAGCAAAACGTAGCACAAACTTCTCTCGCAGGTGGCACGGGACCAGATGAATCTTCTTGGCCTCGTTTATTCTTTTAAGAAGTGCTTCATTTAGTTCATTTGAGCCCTGAAATCATTGTAATTCAATGGATATGGTGATGAATTTCAGAAGCAAGTTTGGAATATGTAAATCCCACCAAGCAGCCAAGCCCAAGTGCCACCAGTAACATGCAGCCACTTTCTCACCTCTGAGTGCTTTGCCATCAAAGGATTACAAAAAGATGATGGCACAAGGGATAATTTTTCCAGCCACAAAGAGATTTATGGATTAACTGGGGTTTAGAAGCAGTATTCACACTGAGGCATTTGTAATAGCTGACTGCTTTTGTGTGACCCAAGGTCGTGAGCTATGTAGCTTCGTGCAGAAGCACTCATTTTGCATCCATCTCATTACACTTTTTTTAGATCTAATCAACAAACATGGGAGAAAGTTCTGCAATGGGTTATACTAACATTTGTAAAATAAACCTTCCAGTCTTCACTTAAGCATGGCTGCTGTGAGATAGTATTTTGAATATGAAGATGGAAATCTTACTCTTAATTAACAAGTAGTTCAGGTACTGTATGACTGGCATAAGTAAGTTTCATAAAATCAGTAAAAACCCCCAAGAAGTATTTGCCTCAAGTTCTGTGGGAAGTGTCTACCACAGAATCCTACAGAGTGGGGGTTTTGGAGAGGATTTTAGAGATGTGGTAAGCTGACTCTCTCTCTCACTGGAAGTGAACAGTCTTCTGCATTCTGGGAAACAATGATACAAATGTTATATATCCTGCAGAAGGTCAGAGGGTTATGTATGCAGTACTGTCCTTCTCATGTGCTCCTTGTGCTCAAATAGTGAACATGCGGCTTTCCCTCAGAGCAGCTGTACGCTCTTAATATCAAATCTCAAAAGAAAAAGGACTGCACAGAGGAGTACTGGTTCTTTTGCAGGTTCAACTAAAGTTGAATCAGTGGTTTTCTTAGTTCAAGTCTGTCAGCATTTGAGAATAAAAGATCTCATCAGATTTTCAGAAACATTAGTAAATTGCTTTGAGTGAAACAATGAAAGAAGGGATGCCAAAAATCCTGGGGTTTTTGTCTGATTTACCAACATATATATATATAAGGTGCTAGCTGCATATCTTTGATAGTCTTTGTTACCCAATTTAAAGGAACTTGCCTCTCTAATTTTTATATCAACAGACTGAGAGATGGCTTCAGCTTTGCTCTGTAGCTTGCCGTAATAGTTTAGGATATACCCTGTTGATTTTGAGTGCTATAATTTTACTCTTTGGGGAAGTATCTTAGCCATTGTAGAGCCTTTACTCTTTCTGTTACACTGCTGGTAGCACAGAATTGCAAAAGATGCTAGGATCATCTGCAGTTCCCTTACTGAACACTGGCTGAGGTAAGAGTCAAAAAATGGACAAATTTGTCTGTTCAGCAGCGTTTTTGTTACTGTAGTGACACAGGTCTTGAAAACATCCCTATCAGAAAACATGTTCTCTCCAATCTGTACAAGCTGTGACTTGCTTGCTTATCCTTTTCCATATAGAAAATAAAAAAAAAATGAGGACATGGTTTCCCATTGGCACTGTGGATAAATGTGCTGTTCTTATGGTTTTGGATCACATTAAAGTTAGAGCTGAACACAAGTCAAAACCTCGTTCTGACGTAGCATAAGTTGTTAGGGAATTTGGATGAAAGCCTGAAATTGATGGCTTAGCCTTAGTCTTCTAGGAGATATTTATGTAATTCAGATGCTCCTAACAAAAGGACCAACTCTGGTGTTTTGGAAGTGTCTTGTCGTACCCCCCATTACGGGTCAATCACTTGTGACAACGATATACTCCTTTCTTATCAAAGGAATTCCATCATTAAAATGACAATCCTTGCCTTTAATATGAAATGCACAGCACTAACTTTAAGGCAATACAAGAGGCTATATGATGTGACATCAGCGCCCTTGGCAGGGGTGGGGGGAGAAAGGAGAAAGATTTTATGTATCTTTCTTCCGTTCTACTCTCACAGCTGCACCCAGGGGCTGCTGTGACACTCAGGTGTCACGTCAAATTGAAGTTAGGAGTGACTAATCCTCTCCCAGAGCTTTGAGAAGCCAGCTCTGATTGAGTCTGTCAGCTTCAATAAGACAGTATTCTCACCCCCTTGGAGAAATGACTAGCTTGACTTCATCTGCTGACATGACAAGGAGGCCTTTGGCGTGATACATTTGATGAAATAGTTATAATATGAAAGTCATAGATCATTAGTCCATCTGCTCAACAGCTAAGCAAAAAAATAAAAAAGGATTTCCCAAGAACAAAGGAAGGAAAAATATTTGATACTTTTAAAGCTGTGCAGCATTACAGTTCAAGTCCTCTGTCCCTTAGTTCTACTGTAACTCTATAAAAGTTACAAGTATCCTACTTCTAAGATGCATTTTACAGAAATCATGGGAAGATTTTTGAAAGAGTGATTTAAAAAGCAAATGAAGCTGCAAAAGTAACTAAAAAAATTTCTTCATTTAGGAGCTTGTTAGTTTTGGTTTTTTGGTCTAGGAAGGTACACGATAAAAATACTGCTGTTTCGATCCTGTTTTTTCAGCAGAATCACACCTTTATTCAACAATTGATCCAAAAGTTTCTTATCTAGGAGTCCAACATTTATGTCCTATTGTAAAATTGCTTTTCCCTGTAGGTCTGGTTTCTTTGTTTGGATCATCAGGGACAGGAGAACAGATGCAGAGGAACTACTCGCCTGATCAAAAGTGACAATTCCTGTGTTGCTATGCTCTATTTCACCAGGACTGTTCCTTCAAAGTAAATGTAGAGCGCTGGCTAACAGCCATCTCTGGATTTGCAAAACTAGTTTTTGCTTGTTCCATGTGAGAGAGCACACTACAACCAACATGTTATTGTTGAGCAATAAAAGCCACAAAACCTACTCCTCAAAATCCTCTAAAAGTTTGTGTTAGGAAATAAATCATATTTGTGATTCCTCCTACTGCAAAAACTCCACATTCTGTAATCTGTCTGATCCCCTAGCAACAGATCTTTTTTTTTTCTTTTACTTTAAACAAAAAAAATCAAACAAAACCATTTTCCTATTCCAAATGTTAAAGATTTGTTGTTACAGATTTGTTAGCTCCTTCAGCCAATTGCATCAAATTCAGGTAACCGAGAGGACTGACTGAGGAACGAATTCATGAAAAGTACTAATACCACATCACCCAGAAGGAGCCAAGATGTGCTTGTGAGCCTTCAGAAAAGCTAAAAGCTCATTTAGGTATCATGTGAACTAGAAGACACCAGTGCTGTTATTATTATTGCTTGGTGATCAGATTCAGTGTCACAATCCAGTCCTTTACAGAGGCTTTAGATGCAAGCTCCTCTATTAAATGAGTTCTTTCCCCAAAATAAGACACTGATCTCATTTTAATGTCTGATTAAACAAGTAAGCCCTCCCAACAACTGCAGCCCCCTATGCTTTGAGGGTGATTTTTCTAGTTTCTGTCAAGCAAGGTCTCTACATCTATGAACTTTAGACTAGAGTTCTTGCAGAGCACTTACAAAGACCTTGGGGAACGAATGGCCAAGAGAGGCAAAAGGATCACGTTCAGGGGCCAAGGGCAGTTGGGAAGCTGGCCTCCCATGCAACCAGTTCTTACATATCTGCCTCCAATTTGCTCAGTCTGACTGTACAATTTTATAAATTAAAATGTATTCTTTAAAGAAAACAAGAGGAAAGTGTTTACTACTCTAATCTTCATCCATGATGGTCATATATGTATATAAAAAAATAACAGGCTATTAAATACACACACATAAATAATTAACTAAGAAATATGTAATACACACATATACACTCACATGTTATATACAAATGTCTATGGAACTAAAACAATCATCTTCATCAACGCTCATCAAGCACAGAATATAACAGTTATTTCGTATGACTGGGTAGACCACTTCTGTTTGCCTTGACTATACACTTCCATTGCCTAATATGCTTGAATTTCTCTTAAGCATTTGATTAATTTTTTTAAAAAAAGGTCTTAAGCTTCTCTCTCTAATCTGCTTCAACCTACATAAACTCCCTTTACTTAACTACAGACTATATTCAATTGCAGGTATTGCTATAAAACATGACAGAAGAAATAGGTCTCAGCGCCTTACCTTCAGCCGAAAGCACACCAGTCCCAAGACAACCTCAGCGCAGATCTCAAATCTTTCATCCTGAAGGACTAAATGTTCAAACTGATGCGACAGCCTGACGTGCTGAAAAGAGAAACGTAGTAGCTAGGTGGTATAAATTTGATTCATCTAGAGAAAAGATATGCCCAATTGTTTCCATCCTTGATCTCTTCCCTCTGTTCCCTCTTCCAATACGTGACAATCTCCACATATCGCCATCTGTTTATGATAACTTAGAGCCTACTGATGACTTTCAGAGACTATATTGAGGCGTTACTTCATTAGCAGCTCAGTCAATCTTAGGCAGTGCTAGTCTGTTTCTTAATGAAACATTTCAACATTGATATGATACCACATTAATAGTACATAATCATTAATAAATCTTCTTAAGGTTATCTACCACTGTCAGTTTTGGCTGGGACTGGCTAAAGAGTCCAAAAGTTATTATGGGGAAAGAGGGAGTATGCATAGACATATGGAGAGAAAAAGTTCATGATTCTAGTGCAAAATGAGCTGGAAAGATGCATTTTTTTAGAACAGTTCACTTAATATGAAAATAACTGTAAAGAGGGGGAGAACTTGCTCACTCTTCTGACCTCAGTACTCAGGTTCAGTTGAAAAGAAAGGTGACAGTAGTATAATCAAGGGAATGGATGGCAAATCTTAGCCAACTTGTTTAGAAGTTACTGGGAAAAAAAAAGTGACACTGGACACCAAGCCAGAGCAACTATTTTGAAGCACAGGAAACCAGTGCTCTTCCAAAAATCAAGCAAATAGGAAAATACCAATGGGCATACTAACAACCAGCTGGGAAGTCTTAACATCTGTCAGTGATTCTTGCATATTCATATCAGATTTCACTTTCTTCTGAACAAAAAATGAATTCAAAAGCATGTGGAAAAAAAGAACCCAGATCCTCATCAGGTACCTGCAATACCTTATCCAGTTCCCCTCTCACTGGCTATCATCAGTCTAAAAAAACCCAACAAACTACAACAATAGCAACCAGCTATTAGAATTACAGTTTGTTTTCATGCAATAGCTAGTGTACTCCAAAAATTATCAGCAACATCTAAAAAGCTATTTAAAAGTTTGTTAGCTTTTATATATCTGTGATTGCAAATAATTTTACAAAAATACACAACTAAGCCCATGTCTTTTCCTGTTTATGCACTTAGCCTTTTTGCCAGCTCAAGGACAAATATCAAATAAAACCAAAACATTTCACTTTGCATCAGGGTTATGTTTCATCTCACAGGACCTTCTTCCAAACAAGCAGGAGTGAGGCAAAACAGAAATTACAAAAAAAAAAGAAAAAAAAGAAGAAAAACACATTTTGCAATCTTAATCATAGCTTTCTGATGTTTGTTTATTTCTTAAAATAGAAAAACATTGTTTATATTGCATCAAAACATCGCTTCAAAACCTTCACGCTGGGCATACTGGTACCCTGTGCAACCAGCCAAATCTTACTGTTGTGACCACTTCCGCTCTGCTGTTTGTTACATCCATTTATCATCTCCCTCTAAAATTAGACTGAAAGATCTCGGAGTCAGGAATGAGACCAATAAAATGCCCAATCCTTTCCAAGGCATTTGAATGTTCTGCTTATATAAATAGCATGAGTTCACAGCTATGAAAATTGACCAGAAGTATACATATACGTACAGACACTTACATGCATAAGTGCATGGAAAATGTGTGTGAAATATGCAGAGGTGTTGTAATGATTTTATGCTGTCTCCTCCTATCTGCATGTTCAATAGCCTTACCCAAACTGGTGTCTTTCAGACAGCTCTGCAAAATTTCACACTGCATACACTACGTCTTGGAAATTAAAGCATAAAAAAAAAAAAACCACGTTCAATGAAAAGAGAATTTCACAACTCTTCAGCTGAATGTAATCACCATCTAAATTTAATTAAAATTTACCTAGGTAATACTGAGTAAACCAAAAATTTAGGAGTTGGCTTACGGCAAGTATTTTGTACAAGAAAACTCAGGACCCATGCTGTACATTTTAAAGCAGGTCCACTTTTTGCACTAAAGGATTTTTCAGGAACTTAAAAGAAAGAAAAGCAAAGAAAAACAGACAATAACCAGTAAAACACAAATCGAAACTCTGGAAATATTTTGTATTCGTGTCTGCGTGCAAGCACTTTTACCAATGGCGAGTCCTAACCAGCAGCAATACTTTCGAAAGCCACTGGGGGGCACCAAGTGTTTGAGATTATACGGGACTGGAAACGAGCTGAGATTTAACCGAGGTTTCACCTGTAGTAGCTTTGCTTACCACACTCGGACCCAAGACCCTGCACTTTTGAACTATGAGCTATTATCCTGAATTGCTTTGACAAGTATTGTTGTAACCCAAACATTATTAAACCCAATAAAGTTAAACGTTATTAATCCTGGAAGTTCAAACTCTGTAAAACCAACAGGCTTTTTTAAAAGCTATCCCGCCTGCCTCTGTGAGTGCAAGAGCTGCACCCACACTCTAGACATGAGGCAATAACTTGCAAGAGGGCCTGTGGTAGCTTTAGTGCTTCAGCTTTTCAAGACAGGCAGGTAAACTGTGAAAATAAAGTCCCGTTTGGAGAACTGCAGGCACTGGAACCAAGGACAGGAAAGAAGGAGAGGCAAAAACTGACAGGCTGTTCTCAGCTTTTGATTTTGACATCTGTGACATGCTCTGTCCCTAGCACCATTAACTTAAAAGCTGATGTTCAAATATTATTTAACCTTTAAAAAATATTTCATTTAATGCTGTTATATAGTTTAACAAAAAAGTACACGTACACGAACCAACTCACATACTGTTTCCAGCAACAGCATTTGGACAGTCCCTTTATCATGTGGGTTCCCAGAGTAGAATCATATGGGCTGCGTTAGTGGCCTGAAAAGTCTTGCTCTGTAGGAACAGAACACCAGCCCTTCTCTTATCAGGGAAATTTAGCAGACTGAAGTAAAGAAGCTTGTGAGGAAATTTTGTGTGTCATTATCCATCTCAGATAAATAACCATTGCTCTTCTGCAGTGAGAAGGGAAACATGGAAGGAATCTGATTCATTTGGTTATAAAGGATTAAGGGAAACATCTTACATAACCACTAATGGGAGCAGTAAAATATGAGGCATTAGAACGTGTTCCTTATTTTAAAAAACCTCTGTATTTGTTTATGTAAATATGTGAATACAAATACAAACTTGCAGAAATATAAATACAAATATGTAGAAATATAAATGCTTCTGCACTGAGGTGTTTAAATCAAATTTTAATTTTTGGGCAAAATCTTCAAGAGCCAGAACAGTTTTTGACTGAAGGGAGCTTCTCTGAAGCATCAGAGTACGTTAATGTGTACATGCAAATAAACGTGCCTACCTAGTCTTGATTACTTCATCCTTTTCCTCCTATAGAGATCACCTCTCTGCCTGCCTTAGCTGGCATCCCACTACACTCTGAAGGAAAATGCTGTCAAAAGAGTCTTCTTAAGAGCCACTTGGACTGTGCCCCTCCCCAGGTGAAATGGTATCTCTGGCTATTCTGTACAGTTCCAGTTTCTTGGTCTCTGGTGTTAATTTTAAATGGAAATCATTATCCTTGGTGAAGAAAGAAGGATGCAGCATGCTGATTTCTTCTCCTAAGGAGAATTCATCTGAGTCTGAATATTCATGGAGATCACATACAAAAACATTAACTGTTAAATTTCTCAAATGACTTCTGAGCTCTTTGAGAGGATTTAAACCAACAAAGGAGTAATGGATGGTCAGGCAGTTTGAAAACAGGCCGTTGGGGTTTCACAGTTACGCTGACTCTGAGTGTTTGGAATCAATCCAGAAGGCTGTTATTGTTGATGGTTTTACCTTTGTACATCATCCCTGCGGCTTTGGGACTTATCTCCAAAATTTGTATTTTTCTCTCCCCACATTCTTCAGAGATGACTGTCCTCCCCTTTACCACTGCTTTAAAAACCTATACTTTGCAATAGGCTAATATTACATGTCGTGTGGGGGAAAAAGTGCATAACTGGAAGGTTTGGAAACAAAAAGATGCTGCTGTATCTAAATCCAAGTCACGCATTGTCATCTCCCAGGAATATTCCAGTTCCTAAATGCCTTCTTCAGTACAAGCAAATGCCAGGCTGCAGCGGTTATCTGGCCATTTTGATGCAGACCTTAAGGCTGCAATTATAACAAACACCTTCTTTTCCTAAAACATACTAATATAAGAGAAAAAAAGAAAAAGTTTCTGGAGAGTTGCAGATATCTTTGGTCTTCCATACAGAAGCTAATATGGTGGCTTCTTAAGGATATGAAGTGGTTTTTTCCCCCAATATCACATCAGAGGCTCATCACTATTGAAAACCTCAAAGGACTTCGTAAATAACAAAGAAGCACCAAAGAAGCCTAACTAGAAGTCTTCCACAATTTTCAATGACTTAGGTGCTGAAGTGTCTCTTTATTTTTTTCCTAGGTGATTGCAACATCTATATTGGGATTTTTATAAACTCAGAAAGGAACAGAAGGTCCCAAATCTGTGAATAAGGCCCAGGCCTGCACCTCAACAGGTGTACCTTAGCTGCTACTGTATAGAGTGAACGTGCCCTACACACAGATATGCAGTTATTTGCAAGATCTATGACATGGGGTTTTTTTTAGAAAAAGCAACTTTTCAAGGCCAAGCACTGGGATAAGCAAAGTTAAAGTGAAGTTACCAAGTGCAGTTAAATTCCAAATTAGTTTTCATTTCAAACTTGTCTACAGGTTTGAAAATATAAACCAGTGTCAGGCTGGTTTACAAACTTCATTACTGCACTACCAAAAGAAAAGTCATCACAATATACCTGGAACCCATCATAATTCCTGAGAAGAGAAGAAAATGTGCAAGATGTAAAACACATCTATAACTGTTGTTTTGTAGCCACCAATACAACTTTACCAACATGTCTGCAAACTCTCAAGAGATATCTTAAATTCTGCTAGAGCAGGGAGCAAACGAAATGCTGGAGATAGAAATTACTTTTCTTAAAAGCTGCTTTGGAACCCACTGAATTTAATCAGCATTCATCTGGTGGGGAAGGTGGTGAGGAGAAACTAACTTAATGGTTCTGGTTTGACAGATTTGTACAGTGAGACAAATTCTGCACTTAATTACACCTCTCGCCCTTTCAAAATTGCAAACAGAAGGTCATAATTTATTTTTGTTCTGTATACCAGGGAATGATTTAGTCCTTAATGAAATATCAAACATATACACTTGATTCAACATGCCCTTGGAAATCTAGCTGTCTGAATTACCTTTACAAATAAGGGAACATATTAGGGTTTTACTCTGGAGTCAATATCTTTCAGATAGTCTTTCTGAACTGTACTATGACAAAAATACAAAAACCTGGTCTTCAGCTATAATTGTAGGAAGATAAGCACTTTTTGGCTGCACAGTCAGGGAAATGTCTGGGAAACACGGAAAGAGGGAACTTGCTGAATGTAACTACTGACCTGTGGAAACCAGCCTGATAAAAGGCCACATAACTGATAGGAGGCTTCCAACTCTATTTTCCCAGTAGAGATTTAGCCCTACCTAAAAACTTGGCATCACGTTGAAATAATTGCAGTCTCCAGAAATCTAACCCAGGAGAGAATCCCTCTAAAAACTGTAATGGCAGCCTAGTAAAGCTATAGCAAACCTTCCATCAATTTTTCATGGGTAGGATATGTATCAGATTGCCACAAGGATGACAGAACATCAAGATTGCCACTGTGGCCAAAAATTTATTTTGGAAAGCTTCGTTAAGGATAAAAATCTAATTCTGATATTTATAGAGTCAGTTAAAAAGCATACTGTGACAAAAATGAGAAGCAAAGAGGGTACCTTCCATCCTAGAACCTTTCCAAATCGGAATAGACTTCCTCATACGGTGATTTTACAACAGTGGAAAAAAAGTAATTTTTAGGAATTAATCTGTTTAGTACCACAATAGAAAGGAATGTATATCTGCAGGGAATTTGGTATACTAGACCAGATCCTTAGCTAATGGATATTTCTGTAAATATTTAGAGTCAAGTCATGGATCTGCCCTCACTAGAAGTTTTCCTAAATTTCATAAAGATGAAAGGTATGCTTGAACTTGACTTTACTGCTATACAGGAAGTATATATATAATTCAGACTGGCACCAGATGTGGTTTTGAGTGATAAAAACTCTCTTTTTTACATCAAGAATAAACTTACTACTTATTCATAACAATGTTGACTGTAAATTGTATGCGCTTTTTTTTTTTAAAAAAAAGATGTATTTCAAACAGGAGACAAAGAAGTAGCAGAGGTAGAAAAGCCCAATAAGTTAATGTATCCCTTAATCATAATCTAAACTTGTTATCAATGCATGCACGTTAATAAAATAAAGAAGTAATGAATAAACATGTTTTCCCACAATAAAATCATGGATGTACTCTGGCCTAATTTGAGAGGGAACCATGGTCCCACATGGCAGAAATTCCAAAATCCTCAACTTGTCTTCCCTACAGATTAACATAAAACGGATGATGGTTTTGATCCTGCCGTGATAATGAAATTGTGACACTACGTGGGGCAAACGAGCAGCACCTCTATCGAACTGAGCTGTCTCAAAGCTGTTGCTGGTGCTTTCTGATGTGTACAGAAGTCACGAGAAGCAGACAGGCCCCCAGCTCGTCTTCCCTTGCCGTCCCACCACAGGTTTACCCAAGAAAGCAAATTCCAGTCACCTTGCGGATGTGCTCCTGGAGCCCAGTGACCCCATAAATCCTCAGCACGAACCAGAGCTTCAGGGAGCGGAATCTCCTGCCCAGGGGGATTTGCCAGTGCTGCAAGCCAGGGAGAAGGGAGGGCACCCATGTTAGAAGTCAGCAATACAGCAGAAACTGTACATTCTGCCACATCCTACAGGCAGTTGCTAGAAGTGGGTCAAATCACTGACTGTGACTGTTTATTACTCAAAATTTTCAAATCAAAACCAGGAAAGGGGACTGATGTTAGAATGGAAGAGTCACAAGCCAAATCAAATTTTCTTTGTGAATCTTGAATTCTCCTCAAAGGCTTTAGAAAAATAAGTATCTCAGAAGCTCATGTACACTGGCTTGGTTACAGTGTACAAATGCCAAGCCAGATGCTTGGCTAGCATCTACAACAACAATTTTCCATTTCAGAACAACAGCGTTTCTATTGGTTAAAGGTTAAAACACATACACATATTTTTTTTTAAATGTATTACTCATCATGTTAAGGGGAAAAAAATAAATCTTTAGGACATTTCTTTCAAGTGCCCAAACCTTGAGATATTGCACATGTAAGACAATCTCTGCCTTTAAACAACTTTTTGCAAGAAACAGAGTTTAAAGTTTCAGCTTGAGGAATGTTAACAATTTAGCAGGCTGCATCCTTCCTGGAAAGACACGTAACGTTTTAAGGTTTATAATAGGAATGAAAAAATATAAGTCCTGAAATTATCAGCATATACCAGTAACAGTATGAGTTAATACACTGGTGCTATACTTACCCGATAATCTGTTACAAGACCTGGAAGTTAAAGAAAAAATGTTCACATTGCTTCATCACAATAGCCAAAATCTTCAATCTTCTAATGTTATTGAAAAAGCTGTATCTTAGCGATCCCCGTATGTTTGCTGCAAACTTCAGCATCATCAGTGTCAAGAGGACCATTAAGTATCTAGCAGGATACTTGGCCGCCTGCTAAATGAAGGTGCTTGTAATAAGCTTCATTCCTTAGCTAGTCAGAATACACCACTAACAAATTAAACAGTTTACAGGAGAAGAAACACAATTTTCCTTTCTATTATGCTGCAGATAAAGTGGAGATGAGGAACTAAATACTATGCTGATTTTCTTCTTGTAAGGAAAAGAAGTAGTAGACAAAATGGCTGTTACTAATTTTGTTTTAAACAGTTTGCAGGATCCCCAAACTCACTTCATTACTCATTCTCTGCTGTGAAACACCACCACTTTTACCCTAGCGAACTGTTAATGCATTTTAAAATAATCCCCTTCTAACTACCTTTTATACTCATTCATATATTTGTTGATAATTTTTCAACATGTCTAATAAAACACTGGAAAATTTTACTCAGAATTGACCTCTTCCTGCTGGGAGAATAGCATTCTGTAATTTTTATTATCGACTTTCATGAAAGCACCTTACAAACACAGAGTGGCCAAGCCACAGAACAGTCCAGGGAGGCACAGAGATAACAACAAGTTATCTTTTATATAACCACGCAGAGTCAAGATGCAGCAACCTTTTCTTTGAATCATGGAATGGTTTGGCTTGGCAGGGACCTTAAAGATCATCCAGTTCCAATCCCCATGCCATGGGAACTGGGTAATTAAACTGATTTCACAGTAAAGGAAACTGTAACATAAAACTGGACTACTTACAGTGATTATACAGAATTATAAACATATAAATAAAAATACAGAAATTAAATTGACATAAAATTTAAAGCACTTCTTTAGGAAAATGTGAAAGTATCTGCTTAGCTTTTTTATTCTGCTTCATTACTCTGCAGTTGATAATAAGCTTCACAGGAAAGTATGTACTTCAATGCCATGGGAAAGCCCTGTCTAAGTGCCCCTGGCATTGTGAACCACAAGGTACTATACAGAACTGCAGCTTCTCAATTTGACCAGTCGACGTCATTTACATAATTCTCAGCCTCTATATTTTCTTGGAGCTAAATAAAGAAAAAGACTATTTCTTGTGTTACAAGCTCTCTTGCCAGTGCTCTCTCATCTACGCAGCCAAAACATAGGAAAACCCATGGTCCTTCCTCCCTGCAACATGTAGCCCTTTGGTTCCTTAACCAAAAACAATACACAGCGACCAACAATTACTAACCTGTTCCTGGACTTAAGGAAATGAGCATGGTTGTCCCAGCTCAGTAATGAGGTAATCTGATAATATTCATGTTCTTCTGAATTGCAGCAGCCATTTTTGTTTGATAGCTGCAAGACTGGTAGCAAAGAGTAAAGCAACTGGTGACAGATAAATAATCCTACGCTCCTGTAAGGGGCTACGTCTAATGATCCACAACAACGCCTTTCACAAGCTGTGAAGCAGAATGCAATCAATGATTAGTCCTTGATTACAAGCCTTAGTCTTACATCTGTATTTAACCAAGAGGAATTGCATTGTGGGAGCATATGTGGCGTTCACAATAGAGTATAAAGCTGCATTCTTCTAACACTGCCATTAGGATTTGACCTATATCCTGGGTTGCCAGGCAAGCTAGTATAATCTTCCTGGTGTGATGATGCAAATCACATAAAATTATAATTAATGACAAAATAAAGACTTTCCCCTTGGGGGCACACATAATTGCCATATGGTTATTAAGAGTAATTGCTCACAGATAGAGATATTTTTCCGCTCATTTAAATTCTTGAGTGAGAGATGAGTGAATTCAAAAATGCTACTTCATTTGCCTTGTAAACCATGAAGGAATTCTCAGACCTAAAACATACTCAGAAAATAAGTGATATTTCCAGGAGTGCTGGCATCCCATGAATCACATAAAGATCAACAGGGACTGTAACATCCTAGCACCTTTGCAAATTTGACTGCGTTTATTGAAGGTGTAAGTGTGGATTGGATTTAAGTTTTACTAGAGGCATTTGCATTTGAAAAGCATTGTCCAGATCTTCAGAAAATTTATATTAAATGGGAATAAAGCATAGAAAAAAATAGCATCACTAGACTGCTAGTAATTAGCTGATAACTCTGAAATTATTATGTCCAGATCACATAACATGCTATCACAGCTTCTGAAGGCAAGATGAAGGCTGAGCAACTTATTATCCAACTGGGGAAAGTTTTTGTGTCAGCTAGGTGGCCTCACTGAAAGCACCTAGTTTTAAGAAAGTTTGATTTTCTTCTGGTGTTATTTAACTTAGGGAAGACCTAAAGTTCTTGTATCAGCACTGTCAGTTGTTACAAGAACTTGTTTTCACTTTAGTGAAGGTTGGATTTTTTTCTCCCGAAGAAAATTATTTTTCATGTATGTTGAATAAAAGCTAGTGATTTAAGTGTATTTGCTATAACTTGTATTTTTTATTAAAAAAAGAAAAAAAATTGTATGTATGTTTTTCTCTTAAAAATTCTAGTCTTTGGAGAGTGAACCTCAGCTCCAGAGTTACTGCATTTTCCTGTTTATTGCACTGCTCTGCATTTATGTTGCTTGGAAATATAGAAAAGGAATAAAACGCAAAATTTCTGCCAGTTCAGGATTAAGGCACAGGAATCCATTCTTCCTTGGGCTTTTTAGTGAATGGTGGAATTCTGGATGGTATTAATGGCCAATTGTATGAAGTTCAACAAGGCCAAATGCCAGGTCCTGCACTTTGGCCACAACAACCCCCAGCAGCGCTACAAAAAAAAAAGTGCCGGGAGAGCGGCCAGCCAGAGAGGGACCTGGGGGTGTTGATGGACAGCCGGCTGAACAGGAGCCAGCAGATTGCCCAGGTGGCCAAGAAGGCCAACGGCCTGCATCAGGAATGGTGTGTCTAGCAGGAGTAGTGAAGTGATTGTGCCGCTGTACTCAGCACTGGTGAGGCCACAGCTTGAGTACTGTTTTTACTGCAATGTAAGAAAGACATTGAGGTTCTGCAGTGGGTTCAGAGAAGGGCAATGAAACTGGTGGCGCGTCTAGAGAACAAGTCTTAGGAGGAGCATCTGAGGAATCTGGGGTTGTTTAGTCTGGTGAAGAGGAGGCTGAGGGGAGACCTTTATTGCTCTCTACAACTACCTGAAAGGAGGCTGTAGTGAGGTGGGAGTTGTCTCTTCTCTCAAGTTAGAGGAGGCTCTCTACAACTCTCTACAACTCTCTACAACTACCTGAAAGGAGGCTGTAGTGAGGTGGGAGTTGTCTCTTCTCTCAAGTTACTAGTGATAGGATGAGAGGAAATGGACTCAAGTTGTGCCAGGGGAGGTTTAAATCAGATATTAGGAAAAATTTCTTTACTAAAAGAGTGGTGAGGCATTGGAACAGGCTGCCATGGGAGACGGCAGAGTCACCATCCCTAGAGTTGTTCAAAAAACATGTACATGTGACACTTCAGGACATAATTTAGGAGTCATGGTAGTATTGGGTTGAAAATTGAACTTGATGATCTTAGAGGTCTTTTCCAGCCTTAATGACTCTATGACTCCAATTTAAATGTCAATGAGTTCACAAACATAATAGAGAAAAGATAAAAGTACTCAAGATATACTTCTGAACACAGATCAGCACCAGCAATTCCAGGAAAAATACAAAATGAGAGTAAATGGTAACAACATTTACATGTGATTCACCTTCTTGCGAAACTTATGAGGGAACTTGCACCACCTGTCAACATTGCACTGCTGTGATCTTTTTCACAACTGATCAGTTCACAATCAAACGTGTAAGAATGGGCTTCAGGATGGCAAATGTCACCACTGCAGTTGGTGAGAGCAGACTAATCCATTAAGAAGCTTTGTACAGGCTCTAAGGTTTGTGAGTTCTTTGTGAGCACTTTGTGAAGAGCTTTCATGAGCATTTTGTACAAGACGGGTAGCACTTATCATCTTCTCTACAATCAATGGACAAATATGAGAGCAGCAGCGTAACATCCCAGATAGCTGTCACTCAAAAGAGCACAGATATCAAACACAGCTCACCCCTTCTTCACAGTTTCAGGTTTTCAAAAATTTGCATCAGAGCTTGCATGAATAGCTACGAAAAAAGGTCAGAGACTTAAGAAACTCTAAAACCAAATCAACTCTTGTAACAATTCTGAATAAAGCCATGTGGGGGAAGACACGTTAAGTGACTCGATACACAGCACCCCGTAATAAGTTTATCTGACTGCCAAGAAGATCATTAAGAATTTTCTCAACTCTCCTATATAGAAGAGTCACTGGTAAGTCTGGAACTGGGGAAATCCCAATACAAAAGTATAATGCTTTATAAAATGGCATTCTCCAATTGTTTTTTATACTAACTGAAATCTCACTAGACATGTGTTTGCCCTTTAATAAGCCTAACTGCCTAGGGCACTCTGAAAATGGAAATAGGATGCCAAAGAACTTAGGCAGTTTTAAGAACTTCAGTTTTCATGTTAAGTCCTCTCCTTGATTAAACATCAGTGTGCAAACAAAACAGGGAGGTTGGACTAAATGATCTCTAAGGTCCCTTCCAGCCTATGCCATTCTATGATTTAAACAAAATACTAGTAATCTCATTAATTATAAAATTACCAGACTCCTGATGGTGATGCTGCAGGTAAAGAGGTTCTAATTTAAAGGCTCCTGTTAAATCTGATCTTTTCTTCACCCTGTATAAAACAGAAAGAAATCCAATTGAGAAACTGAAGAATTAGAATCTGAGGGATTTAATTTCCACAAGAAGTGATGGCAAATTTAATGTGTTTAAACTGGCGCATTTCCTGAGCACAGCCTGTGCCATTTTCAGTGCTTTTTCACAGCCATATCAGTACTGTACTTACAAGTAGTTAAGTGTAAGGCTCAGCAGTAACGGGCAGCATGACTGCGCGACTGCATATTTAAAAACAGACAAGAAACAGACACAGAGGATCTTTTTATGGTGATAGACACTCACACCAGAATGTGAGACTAGCTGAAGCAATGCTAATGTTTGCAGTCAACAGAAGTTGCCTCGAAATTACTGCAGCACAAAGCTGTGTGGGAAGAGCTGTGGCTTCCTAAACACGGTGCACAACGGCAGCGAGGCTCTGGGGATGCTGCTGGCCTCCGTCTCTCCGTGCTGCGGCAGTGCCAGCAGCAGCCACTGGCAGGGACCAGCCACTCAATCCAGACTTGGGCTTCCCTCTTGTACCACCCTGCCCTTAGCTGGATCCAAAAAACAATCACTGGTAGACATAGTACAGCACAATGTAAAACTGAGAAGCATACCTTACTGTTGCCAGCTAGTGGGTGGTGTGACTGACCTGAGGTTCAAAAGCCAGTTTCTAAGTAAAATTTAATTTCCAGTATTTTTGTGTGTATGTATAGATGCACTGGCCGGTGCATACTCCCACTCTCATTCACATTTACACCACGCTCATAAAATATCTTATTCAAAGAAACAAAAAGCCTTCCTCTCGCTACAGTCAGGGAACTAGCAACATTAACAGTTAAGTACTTGCCTTCAGGTATGGAATGTACATACCTGAAGATAAGTAAGCTTATGTGTGTGAAAAATAGCAAAAAACATTCAGAATGGTCTCAATGAAAACAATTAATAACCTATTTTGTGTGCTGGAAATATCATGTGGACAGAAGGAAGAAACTATTAACTGAAAGCAGGTTTAATTAGAGTAAATACTTTTAACAAATCCTCTAAGTTGTTCTACTGTATTGTACTTAATATCTTTGATTACCTTGATACACTTGTGTTTCAGTAGCTCACTGTGTAACTAATCCAAGACACAAGCAACATCATTAGTTGTCTTGTGAGAACTTAATTTCTTCTCCTATAATATGCTGTACTACACAAAGGAACAGATAGCTGGAACATCTGGCTTAGAAGATATAAAAATGCTGCCATAGTGTACTTCCTTGGGGATGTTACTGCTTTTTTAAAAGATGGTGTCTGTTTCATCTGGGGACTTCACAGGTCTTAATCCAGCAGCCATGGAAAACTATCTAAAAGGATTACTAAAATAAGTCCAAAGCCTGGACATCAATATATATGAACCAGTTGAGTTGCACCTCTGCACACCACGTATTTAAACTTCTTTGCAGCCAGTGCTTGTGTGACCTGCTAACGGACAGAAGAGTTGTTCTTAACTTTCTTTGCAAATGTCCCCGATTGACTGAAGGATTGTGAATATATATTTCAAATATATCCTTGATAAACTAGATTATTTTTTTTTTAGGGCTTGATGTTATGCTAATAGACTTACTAAGATCTAGCCAGAGTGGCTCAGATTCACATAATAAGTACTGACAATTCAAAATGCATTGCAAAAGTTCTGGTAAATGAAGTAGTGAAGATCTATGAAAAGTGACTTAGTTGGATTGTACATCTGCAAGTTTTAGCAGTCTCAATCTATTCTGTCTATTTTAAATGAGAGATACAATAACCAAGAAGAGGGCCTTCATATTATAAACCAAAGGGAAAATTTAATTTCCATCTACAGGTAAGCACCTCCTGTAAGCATCTTCCTTCCAAATACTAAAACAACAGTCCCAACCAAAAGTTAACACTTAAACCCTCAAAAGAGTACTAGAAATTCAAGAATACTGAGACTTTGCAGGATTATTATTTTCACTTTCTCTAAAAGAAGACATTTTTGTCTATTTTGTAATATTCCAGAGTACCAATTAAACAATTCCAGGAAAAGTGACTGGTATTTTCAAGGCACAATCTCTAATAGTCCCTAACATTTGAATATGAAACATATACCTCTCTCAGAGTGGCTATATTAAATTCCTTCTCATAGGAAATTGACTGGTTTTTTTTCTGTACATCAAGAAGTCTGAGAATACTTTACGAAAGGCTTATAATGAAGTTGCATCAAATCCACAATGGTATCAGTGCTACATATTGCACTGAGTAGTTAAATAATTCCATTACAAATCTAATGGCTAGATTATCTTAACTTGCAGGAAAAAAAGAAATGGGAGTGTTTATTGGAAAAAATCATAGAATCCTAGAATACATTCAGTTGGAAGGGACCTTTGGAGGTCATCTAGTCCAACACCTCTGTGGTAAGCGGCGACATCTTTAACTAGATCAGGTTGCTCAGAGCCCCATCAAGCCTGACCTTGAATGTCTCCAGGGGTGGAGCCTCCACCACAGCTCTGGGTAACCTGTGCCAGTGTTTCACCACCCTCATT